AAAATGGCCCCAAAATTCCCCAAAAAATGCGCTAAAATATCCCCAAAACAGCCCAAAAAAATCCCCCAACCCTCCCTGCCCAAGACCCCCCCCAACCCCGCTGTTTGTCCTGGGCGCTGTCAGGGATGGGGTTGATGGGTCTGGGGGGATTTTTGGAGGGATTTGAGGGGGATTTTGGGGGGCTGTGACCCCCCCATGACCCACCTGTCCCCCCCAGCTCCGCTGACCCCCGCGGGTCCATGTCCAGCCCGGCCTGGCTGGAGCGAGTGGTCATCCTGGGGATGGGGCGGCCAGAGAGAGCCCTGCTGACCACCCACGGTACGGGGGGCTTTGGGGGGATTTTGAGGGGATTTTGAGGGGTTTTAGGGTGGATTTTGGGGGGATTTGGAGGGGTCTTAGGGTGGATTTTGTGGGGATTTTTGGAGGGGTCATCTTGGGAGTGGGGCGGCCGGAGAGCTCAGGATGGACAATCCAGGGGGGGGATTTTGGGGGATCCTGAGGTGATTTTGGAGTTCCTGAGTGATTTTTGGAGTCCCTGCCGGAGGATTTGGGATCCCTGAGGGGATTTTGTTGTCCCTGGGAGAATTTTGAGTTTCTGAGGGGAATTTGGGGTCCCTGAGGGGAATTCGGTCCCTCAGGTGGAATTTCGGCTTTCTGTGGAGTATTTTGGTTTTTGGGGTCTGTGAGCCGAAGTTTTAAGGTTCCTCAGAGACCTTAAACTCCTGACGAGTTTTCGGAGTCCCTGACCGGGGATTTGGGGTCCCTCACCCGGGATTCGGGATCCCTGACCCGGGATTTGGGGTCCCTGACCCGGGATTTGGGGTCCTTGACCGGGGATTCGGGGTCCCTCACCCGGGATTCGGGATCCCTGACCGGGGATTCGGGATCCCTGACCCGGGATTCGGGGTCCCTCACCCGGGATTCGGGGTCCCTGACCCGGGATTCGGGGTCCCCCTCCCCAGACGGTTCCCAGACCCCGCTGGAGTTCCGGCACGACCCCGAGCGCTCGGTGCTGACCCTGCGGCGCCCCGGGGTCCCCATCGGGGAAGATTGGAGCATCTCCCTGCGATAATGGACGGGGGGGGCCCCCGGACCCCCCCCCAAAATCCCCCCGAAACCCCCCGGGCCCCCCCAGAGCCCCCAGTACCCCCCCAAAAAACCTCCGGAAGACGCCGCTGTTTGAGGAGCCCAGAACTGGGGGTGAGGGGGGTTTGAGTTCCCCAAAATGAGAGGTGAGCCCCCCCCCCGAATTAGGGGTTGAGACCCCCAAAATGAGGATTGAGCCCCCCCAAATGAGGGGTCAGACCCCCTCAAATCAGCGGTTGAGATCCCCAAAATGAGGGGTGAGTGTCCCCCCGCGTTTTACCCCAGATTTTGGAGGGGGGTTTGGGGTAAACGAGACCCCCAGNTTACCCCAGATTTTGGAGGGGGGTTTGGGGTAAACGAGACCCCCAGATTTGAGGCTGGGGGTGACTCTGCCTCCCCTCAAATTGGGGGGGGGGGGGGGTGGGGGGAGGTCTGAAACCCCCTAAATCGGGGTTTTTCCCCCCCCCCAAAATTTGTGTGGGGGTCGCATCGAGGGGGGTTGGGGACCAAGGCTCTGCGTGCGACCCCCTGCGCCCCCTCCCCCCCTTTTTCCACCCCTCGGGGGGGGTTTTCGGGGACCCCCCTCCCCCCTTTTTGGAGAGAGGGGCCGAGCCGGGTCCCCCCCGCGGCACGGGGGAGTCTGGGGGAGGGGGGAAGGCGCGGCGCCGCGCGGAGTTTTGATAAAACACGAAATAAAACCAAATAAAAAACGGGAATTTTGGGAATCCCGAGCGGGGCGGGGGAAACGTTTCTTGCGACTCCCGGAACTTTCAGCCGCGGGAGCCGGGGGGAGGGAGGGACACTGGAACGGCGGACCGGAAGTGGTCGTCAGACCGGAAGTGCTGCGCCGCCGGTGCCTCGGTGCCCCTGAAACCGGTCCCGGCCCCGCCTCCCTCCCCGAGACCCCCCCCGGGAACCCCCGACCCCTCCTCAGGGACCCCCAGCAAGGCCCGAAACCCCCCGAGCCTGAGCCGCCACCAGCGCCACGTCCGCACTGGGAGTGAACTGGGATTGGAGGCGGGAACTGGGAGGGCAAACTGGGGGGACTGGGGGGGGAACAAGGGACTGGGAGGGCTGGGGGGGGACTGGAAGTGAATTGGGGGGGCCTGGGAGCGCTGGGAGGGGGAACTGGGGGTGCTGAGGGGGGAACTGGGAGCACTGGAAGGAACCGCTATTGCCCCCCGGGGGGGAGGATGTGAAACCGGAACCCCCTGAGACCCCCAGGACCCCCCCCCAGACCCTGCCAGGACCCCCCAGGACCCCCCCGCGATGCGGCTGCGGCTCAGGAACATTTTCCTCGTTTATTTCGCGGTGTCGCTCGTGGGGCTCTTCTGTGCCCTGCGCGAGCTCGGTGAGGGCCGGGGGCGCCTTTGGGGGGGGGTTGGG